CTGCTTCTTCCCCCTCTGCTACCCCCCTAAACCCTCCTATTTCTGTCCTCTCTTGAGTGTGACAGACATGCAGACACCGGCACCACCAGTGTCACCTCTGGGTACACTGTGATGCTCCTGGGGCTGCACCCATGGCACCTGGAGCCACAGCTGCTTCCTGGCCACCTGCGCAGGAAAAGCCCAAATGTTTCCTCCATGTCACCTTGTTGTGGGCTTATTTATCTCCAGGTCATTTTTGTCTTTTTTTTTTTTTTTTTTTTTAATTCCTGGAAAGACCTCTGTGAGTGTGGGGTAGAAATGCAGGAATAGTTCTGCATCGCCATGTGGTCCTTACCCTGGAACTGCCACATAAACAGTTAAAAATCACATTACCAGGGACACAAGTGTCCATTTCAGTCCAGTTGGTGCATCCCCTTCCCTGCTTTTGGAGCTGTTTGGGAGCATCATAAATGCTCCTGGAATTTTTGCAGACTGCTTTTAACCCAAAAATATACCACCATGGTATAATGGTACCATGCACCATCCGTCTGTCCATCTGCTCAGCACTTCACCCAGCCCAGCTGCCATTCCAGCTGCATGGATTTGCCCATCCCTAAACCTCGCAAGAAAATGACCTTGATTAAAAACCAACCAGAACCAAGGCATTGAACCCAAGCAGTTCTACACCAAAGCTCTTTGTGCTGCTCCTTCGGTATTGCCTCAGGATGGAGGTTTTCTTGAGGGGAGATGTAAATCAGCTGAGGTATTTTGTGTTTCTGATCACATCCAAAATCACAAATGTCATTTATTTTCAGACCTGAGGTTTGGCTATTGCTCAAATTTTTCATAATCATGTCTCAGTGCTGACAGGCTGGAGCCTGAGCACAGAGCTGGCTGTGCAACCAGCTCCTTTTAAAATCCAACTGCAAGGAAACGAGGGAACAATATCACATCCAACATTTATTTGTTATCATTTTACATTTGGTTTTACATCTTGTTTGGGTTTATTTTGTTCAGTTTTACGTACAGGGGAAGTGTTAGCTGTCGTCTCTCGTTTGCCCTCCTCTGAGCATCAGCAGCTCTGCTTTGGTGCCTTTCCAAAGCCCGTTGGGGAAAGGATGTGCTCGGCAGTTTGTGACAAAAAGAGTTCATTGGGCATTTCATGGGAACAAACAAAACCAACTGGCTCAGGAATGGACAGAGCCCAGACATCCATCAGTTCTTTTCCCAAATAATTGTTCGTGCTAACAATTTCCTGCAATGATGGGGAAATTTCAGGTCTACAGAGAAGAGAAGGAAAATGAGAAGTTAAAATGCAATTAAGAAAGGATAAAAGACACCAATTTGGTCCCTTTCTTCACCTGGGCAGCTTTTCAAGCTGTTCCAAGAGATCTTCCCTGCCAAATCACTTGGGATGATGCCTCTGGGTGCCATTGTGGCAACATGGGGCCCAAAAGAAGCATCTCCCCTGCCCACCTCGGCCGTGCTCTTCCTCATCCAGCTGGATGATGTCCTGTGGACATCACACCTCAGTTCTGAGTCACCTCCTAAACACCAACCCTTGAGACCAGTTCCTGCACTGTCCCAAGCTGGAAAAATGCCTGAACAGGATGATTTTTGCACCTATCACCCTGAAAGTCCAGGGATGCACCAGCTCCACTGCACAACCCGAATACTGGCGGCATGGGAAAAAGCCGTGATGGGAAAAGCAAGGAGCAAGCAAGGACGATGTCCCAGCACAGCTGGATCCTCTCAGCATCTCCCTCTCCTTCCTTATTTATGGCTGGAGCTGAATCCTCCTTGTTCATCTCCTTGGCAGAGGATCAGAACTCATCAATTCTCCATTCGCCACCGAGCGTCCTGTTTCTTCCTAGACATTTTTCCTTAATTATCTGACAATGAAACAACTTAAAGGGGGATTAATAAAAAATCAGAGAGGCAAGAAACAGCCATCAGTATGCTTAAAAAAACAAAACCTCTGTGGGCATCCCATCCCACTGACCTCATCTCCATGTGGAGCTGGGAGCATCAGGCACACGTTTTGAGGTGCTAAGAATTCAATAGTTTATGGGATTGTCCAGCTCCATCAGAGATGTTAAATGAGGGATTCAGGGATAAACCAAGGATTATGCAAAGCAGATCTTTAAGGACAATATGTTTTCCATTCAAAGATTCAGGCAAGTCTAATAAAAAGCGATTGATGTCAGAGCAATGGGGCTCTGCCAGCAGTGCTGGGTTTGGGGGGAATGAGGCTCAAAATGGGAAAATAACCAGCTGAGCTGTTCTTAAGCATTAAAAAATGCAGGAGATGGGGAGGGACTGGCCCCAGGAGCCTTCAATGGACACAGGAGCAGGATGGTGGCTGCAGTGATTGGGAAGAAAGAGAAGGGTCTGGGGACACAGGAGCTCAGTGCTCGAGGGCCGGGGCAGCCCCTCCGCCGCCTTCCCCCCTGGGCGATTCTGAGCATCCCCTTCTCTGCCTGGACAAGGAAGTTATTTTGCAGCTTGTTTCACAAGCCTTGTCCTTTTGGTGCATCCCAGTCCTGAAATCCCAGCCCAGCCTCCTGATCTGATGTCCAGGCGACCCAGCAGGGCTTGGACCACATCTGGCTGCCCTGAGACAGCCACTGAGATGCAACATGAAAATCCCCCCTCAGAAGCCCTTCCCAGAAATCTCTCCAGCCTCAGCTTTCTTATTTTTTTTCCTAAGCAAAGCAGACACGCCTTCCATTTCTCCACCAAAAAGGGAAAAGGCAATAAATTATTATTCCCTTTAATTAAAAGGGGTGTCAGTCTTATAAGCAGTTAATTAATAATTCCACATTAACTTAATTAAGCACTGGGAGAGCTGGAGGCAGCACAGTCCACATGAGGCTCCTGGGGTCAGGCTGAACCTGCTGGGCTCAACTCCTCTTAAACCAGTAGATAAAATCTCTGTCCTCAACAGGATTTAGGGATGAAATCCCAGCAAATGCCACCCTGGTGTCACAAAGGTGCTTGTTCCCACCCTGCATCCCCTCACGCCTGCAGGAACAAATCCAACTTATCATCAGCACTTTTGCTTTCCAGCCATGCCCAAATGTGAACAACTCCAATTAATTGATGGCTGTATAAATCATGATACTATGATAAATCAGAGCTCATGAACAATAACAGGGGTTAAAGCAGAGAGGAGCAGAGGACAGCACTCCTTCCCCCCACCAGGTGCTGGGAAATCATCTCCTCTTCCTCCTCTGCCCACCCACTCCTAAACCCTCAACTGCAAAGTGGATTTTCATGCAACACTCCTATAAAAAAGTGCAATTCCAGGATATGAAGTAGTCATTAATCATGCGGAAATTGCGCTTGTTACAGGAGAAACATTAACAAAATAATCATAAATCGTCTGCCAGCTCTGATTTGCGGGCGCACACGTTTGCAAGGGGATGGAGAGGCCTCTCATTTGGCTTCTGTAATTAGTGATTAACCCTTTGCCATGCGGGGCAGAGCATGGACACAATTCCTCCACCACAGATTGCTTGTGCATCCCCCCTAAACACAAAACATCTGAGGCATTCCTGGCGTCCTTGGAAAGCTGTAGGTTTTGAGGTTATTAAAATCCCATTATTTTATTGCTGTGATTAGATTAAAATGATTAAATGACTGAAATGCCCAGCCATGCTGGAGGCAGCTGGGGAGGCCCCTTCCTGCCTGGGGTGGAGGTGCTGCCAGGACCTGGATGTGCTCAGGACCCCAACCAGGTGGGAAAAGGCTGTTTTGTCCTCTGACTCTGCTGTCCTTGCAGTGCCATCACATGGGAGACTTTTACATCCACCTACAAGTGACCTCAAGGCTCCTTATAAACTGAAGAAGTCGGTGAAAAAAGTTCTTTTTCTCTCTCTCTCTCTCCCCTGTGCTGTTACAGAGGTTCTGGTGGGAACAACCCTGAGCCCTCTGAGGCACCCCCAAAAGCAAATCATACCCCAGAAAAGGCAGAAAACCTGTCACCAGCACTCTGGAAGAGAGTTTTTTCCAAACCTGAACTTTTCCTTCATCTTGAATCTGAATTCACACCCCAAAGAATATGTTGCTTTCCTTTTTTATTAAAAAAATTGATGTGAACTATCAAGCAGCTTGACTAAATCTTCCATTTAGGATCATGACAGCCTTAGGGCTGGGTCACCTGAGACTGAAAAGATCCTACCCTGAGCACCTGGCCTGTTTTAGTACCCACCAGTGTCTGTCTGTGCTGGATCACCGGAGAGGGGCAGTCTCGGGACGATCGGTGGTGATCCAGCAGGAATCTGTGGGGCTGATCCTCTCCTGGATATCAATCCTTTGCAAAGCAAGTCTCTGTCACAGGTCTATCGGGAAGGCAGGAGGCTCTGTTTCTCTTTTCCCCCTCTGATCTAGTCAGTTTTAATTGGAAGACTAAATGAGACCTTTCCTTCAAGATAATTATACGAAACATTGAATTAAAGTACTATCGGGAATTTTTTTCTCACCACTTGTGTCAGGCATCTGTTGTTTTAAATAATCATCTGACGAACACTTCCCTGCAGCTCTCCCTGCTGGGAGCGTTCCTATCCCAGACAGAGCAGCTGGAAAGCACCGGATAATAAAGCAGAGAAAAGGGATTTTTCTCCCCAAAATCACAAAACCATGGAATGGTTTTGGTGGAAAGAGATCTTAAAGCTCATCCCATCCCACCCCTGCCATGGCAGGGCCACCTCCCACTGTCCCAGGCTGCTCCAAGCCCCAGTGTCCAGCCTGCCTTGGGCACTGCCAGGGATCCAGGGGTGTCTCACAACGACGATCCCGGAGGTGCTTTTCAATCTGAACGATTCCATGATCCAGTGACCACGCGGACCGAGATGCTCCTGCGCCCATGGCCGATGCCCGTCGCACAGAGAGCCTGGCTGAGAGCTCGGCTGCGCGGACGCGGAGCCGGTTAATAACTTCAGAGCGTTCCGGGCACAAACCAGCGGGAAGCGGGCCCTGAGGGCGCGGGGCTAGCGGCCGGGCCGCCTTAAGGCCCGGGGGCGGGGCCGCCCGGGGGCGGGGCCAACCCGAGCGTCAACGGCGGCAGCAGCGCCGGGCTCAGCCGGGCAGCGCCGAGAAGTGCCGAGTTCAGCCGAGCGGAGCCGAGTTCAGCCGAGCGGCGGCGAATGCAGCGAGCGGTAGCGCGGGTGCTGCGCGGGGCGCGGACCCCGCAAATGCTGACCTCCCTGGTTCGGACCCCCCAAATGCTGACCCCCCTAGTTCGGACCTCCCAAGTGCTGACCCCCCTGGTTCGGACCCCCCCGGTGCGGGCGCGATCGGCCACGGCGGGGACCCCTCCGCTCGGGCTGCTCTACGAGCGGCACGGGGAGCCCGCAGCCGTCGTGCAGTAAGGGCGGGACGCGGGGATGCATTGCAGCGGGGTGCAGGAATGGGGTGGGTGTGGATGTGGGGGGCATTGCAGGGAGGGGGTGCGGGTGTAGGGCCAGGGCTGGGGGGGCACAGTGGGACAGAGATCTGGAGCGGGGGTGCAGAGAGGAGTGGGGGTGCAGGTGAGGTTTTGGGGTGCTGCAGGGCTGCTTTGGGGGTGTAGTGCAGGGGGGGTCAGGACTTGTGCACCCCAGGCGTAGAGGGTGGGCATGGGTTGCAGCTCCCTGTGGGACCCCTGAACACGCAGGAGGACCCTGGGATGCCCCAGTGTTTTCCTGGTGCCATGGTCTCACAGGTGGATGCTGGGGGTGATGCCTCCATATCCCCCCACCCACCTGCTGCTGCTCTGTCAATTGTCCTAAACCTCGTGTTTTTCTCAAAAAAGCCCATTCTTGCTTAATTTGGAGGAAGGGAGGTCCGAGCCTCAGCATCACTGTGCACCAGCTTCACCCTGGGTTGCATCCCATTGATGGGTCTTCCCTTTGAGGTCCCAATTTAGGAGCCAAAGCAGCATCACAAGCATTTTTTGGGACAACTGCTGATGCTTAGCAACAAAAATCCTGGAAAGGAGAAAGTTGTAGTTTAGTGGAGTTTAGGCCTTTTTTTTCAAGGGAGGAGACTTTGAGCTCTTGCTGCCCCTCGTGAACCAGCTCAGTTCATGCTGATACATTATCCAGGTGCATCCAGACATCAATCCCCTGGTTTTTTGGAGAAGGAGTATTGCTTTTCCAAATGATCATTTAGTTGTGCAATGGTGCTTGTCACCACTGCTACTTCTTGAGATTTGCTGTTATCACCCCATTGCTTGTGCAAGACTGGTCTTGCTTTGTGCTTTGTGACTTCTCCTTTTTCACAGATTTCCAGAAATACCCCAGGTTCCCATAATTGAGCGGGGCAGGATGAGCCGTAAAATCACCAGCCAAAACCGCAGCTCTTTTACACAACCTGCTGAGTTTCTTAAGATTAGTGAGCATCACTGGGCTTAGTGACACGGGATTGTTTCGGGTGGTTGGCTTTTGGCAGCCTCCTCCAAAAAATCTGTCCTTTTGTCTAACAGAAATCTGATTTTTTTGATGGGATGGGGCATACAGTGCTGTTAATTTAAGTAGGGTGTGGAGGTGGTACAGGCACCCTCCAACTTCAGCCACAGCACAGAAGACATCAACAAACTGGTATTAATGCCCTTTTCTTTTGTGTCTCCCTGTTTAGACTGAAGGATCTGGAAGTGCCTAAGCTGGGGGACTGCGATGTCCACGTCAAGATGTTGGCAGCCCCCATCAATCCTGCCGACATCAACATGATCCAAGGTAGTGTGTTGGATTAATACTTTGCACGTTGGTTCTTGCAGGATGCTCCAAGTTGGAAGGGACCCACGAGGATCTTCAAACCCAACTCCTGTCTCGGAGGGTTCAGAGATGGCTCCTGACGCGGGGATTTTGGGGTCTGAGGGGGTCTCCAGCTCACCTCCAGCTTCCCTGCAGGGACCTACGCCCTCCTGTCGCCGCTGCCAGCCGTGGGGGGGAACGAAGGTGTCGGGGAGGTGCTGGAGGTTGGGCGCCGTGTGACAGCTCTGAAACCTGGGGACTGGGTCATCCCCGCGGACGCCGGGCTCGGTGAGTTCAGCCTCGGCACTGCTGGGTCCTTGCTCACCCCTCCAGCAAAGCATCTTCCCAGGGGATTTTTGGGGTGGTGGAGCCCATGGGGGGTGCCCAGGCTTGCCCAGAGTGCAAACCCGTGGTGGGCTCCTGTGTGAGCTGCTGTGGGGATTTTGGGGGTTCCAAAGCAAAAGCACAGCTCTCCAAAGCACCGTCTTTGCAGGGTGTGGGTAGAGCCATGAGCCCCTGCACTTACAGCAATTACACCTGATGGGATGGGACTCAAAACGGGGAACAAAACTCCATTAGGGAATGATGGGCGAGGGAAGCAGGAGTTGGAGCCCATTTAGTGCCATGTGAGACCAATCATAATGAGACAGTTGGGATAATTGATGAGGTTATTTCTTACATGTTTATGTCTTGGTTTATTTTTACCACCTGTTTTTCTTTTAAATTAATTAATTTATTTTTATTTTACTTTTAATGTATTTTTTAAAAGCAAACTCAGTTCCTGCTGCTCAGCCCCAGCAAGTGATGCTGCTCATCCTCCACAGACACAGGAATGTTCTCAAGAAGGATGGGGGTCCCCAGGGAAGGGGCTTCTGTGCACAGGACTTACCATGCACCCTAGAACACCTGGAATAGGAGTAGTGGCAAGGCCATTCCTTATGTCAAACTTAATTTTAGCAATAATCTTCTTTTCTGTAGCATAGACCCTTTATGGGATGTCTGTGCTATTATAAAGCATTGCAGCCATCTGTGTTTCTCTGGAAACAACCAAGTTTTGTCTCATCAGCTTAGAGCTTCCCTAAAGACCTGGGATGAAACATTTCACACGGGCAAGGTCACGGTGGCCTCTCACTGCAGTTTTCTCTTTAATAATGCTCTGCTCGGAAAGTGTGGTAATTTATTTCCCAACAAATGTCTCCTATGCTCCTCCAAAATGCCAATGGCCTGATATTTGCTGGTTGTGGTTTAGTGTCACAACTTTTTCTTTGCCTGTTTCCTCTTAAAAGACTTTTTGCTAAATGAGAGAAGGAAAACTATAGAGTTAAGAGCCAAATGGTGTATTTTTAAGCATAAAAATGCTGTAAATAGATGATAGAGGGTTAAATTGGATATAAGCATAGAGGGAGTAAAGCTCGCTAAATTGGCTTGGAATATATGGGCTCATCCATAGGATGGAGAGTATTTCCATTATCTCTGCACACATACCCAGGGAATCCTAGTCCCATTATCCCTCTAGGAAATGATTAGGCTTTGCTGGGTGATAAATCTTGGCAGGCAGTGAGGAATCCATTCCTTGCCTCTTGGAGCATTTTGACTCTACCCATATGGGAACCCATTCTATAATTCTCTCTCCAGGGTGTAGCTGGTTCCCAGCGTGCAATGCTGCTGGAGCCAAGGCTACAGTGTGAGCTGATGGTTTTCCTTTGCTTTCCCCCCTGCTGTGGCTGTGCCCATGGTGCTGCTGTTCCCAGGGACGTGGCGGACGCGGGGAGTGTTCCCTGAGGAGATGCTGCTGAAGGTGCCCAGTGACATCCCTGTGCTCTGTGCTGCCACTCTGAGCGTCAACCCCTGCACGGCGTTCCGTCTGCTGGCTGACTTCGAAAGCCTGGCGCCCGGTATGGCCCTGCCATGAGGGAGCAATTCCACACGGATTTCCTGGCTGCCTGTGCAGTGGGAATCTGGGTTTATTCACATCCAGGTGACTCTGTCATCCAGAACGCCGCCAACAGTGGTGTGGGCCAGGCCGTCATCCAGATCGCCAGGGCCTCCGGCGTCAAGACCATCAATGTGGTGAGGGACAGGTGGGTCCTCTGGGGAGGAGCAAGTTTGGGAGCTGGATCTGCTCATCCTGCCCATCGAACCCAGGATTTTCTCCCGTTTCTTCCTCCAAGTTGTTCTCCAGCCTCTTCCCTGTTGTCCCCACGCAACGTCAGAGCAGAAGGAAGGAGAAGGGGGGACTCTGCTTCCTGGCTCATTTAATCCTCTTTTTTTATCTCCTTTTTCCCTCCCCAGACCTGATCTCCCAAAACTGGTGGAGAGGCTGATGGCCCTGGGTGCTGACCATGTCGTCACAGAGGAGATGCTGAGAAAGCCAGAGATGAAAGATATATTTAAGGTACCTCAATGCTTATCCCACTGAGAGATGGTCCAGGACTGTCGCTGCTGTTCAGCACTGGGGAGAAGGGCAGGGATGGTGGGAAGGACAAATTTCTCTCTAGATCAGGATTTAGCCCTGGTAGTGGAGGGATTTTGCTGCTGCCACAAGTGAAGGATCACAGATTTTGGTTCCAATCAGACTGGGCTTGAAGCAGCCTGGTCTAGCTGAAGGTGTCTTCTGCACATGTTAGGGGATTGGAATGAGTCCCTTCCAACCCCAGCTGCTCCTTGATTCTGACAGATTTTAGCTCTACTACTCTCAGCAGCCCTCAGGTAAATGTTGAGGTTAATGCTTGGTTTATCAAGAGCCATGGTCCCATCCCCTAAAGAAGCCATAACGTTTGGGAACCTTTGTCATAAACCCTTGCAGAGCATCCCGAGGCCCCGGCTCGCCCTGAACTGTGTCGGAGGCAAAAGTACCACAGAGATGCTGCGGCACCTGCAGTAAGTTTGGCTGGGTGGTGGCTTGGGCACAAGCCTGGGGACAGAAACTGGCAATAGAGGGTCCTGCTCTGGAGTCTGTTGAACTTTTGGAGAGGGAAGATGAATGGAAAAGTGGTTTTGGGTAACAACAGTGATTTGAAGTCTCACGCTGCTGGGGGTAGTTGGGGTCCAGTTGTGAAGGTCCCCCAAGTCTTGGCCAGGTGTAACTGGTGTGCTGAGCTGCAAATTCAGCTAATGGTGCACGGAAGCAAGAAGAGAGCCTGGAAAGTGGGATCTGAGGGGTAACTGGGGAGCTCTGGGTGCAAGGACAGCCCCAGTGGGGTTGGGGACAGCAGAGGAGGAGGTGGCAACTCAGAGTTGCACTTTTGGGACCACCTAACCCAATACCCCTTTCCTACTCCAGGCCCAAGGGGACCATGGTCACCTACGGGGGGATGGCAAAGCAGCCTGTGATGGTGCCTGTGGTGAGTACTGGGGATGTCCCTCCTTAGTCTCCTGTGCTCCACTGCATGTCCCCATCCCCTCAGTACTGTGAGCCCCTGGCTCTCCCCAGGTGCAGATTGAGACCCTCCAGCCTTTTTTTACCTGATGGGGTCTGTCACAGGACAAGCTGCATCCACTGCTGGGCTCTTGGCTTTTATATGGAGGATTTGGGCTGCCGAAAAATTCCAGGGGGTAAATGATCCCGCAGGTGCTGAGCATCAAACCTGCCCTGACTCCACACCTCTCCGCATCCCTGGAGTCACCTCTCCACATCCCTGGCTCACAAATGGGAGCTCTAACAAAGGGCCTTACTGCCACTTTCCACCACTGTCACGCTGGGAGGGGACACACACGTGTCACTGCCTGTGTGAGGGGACATGGGAGTCACTGGATGCACAAGGGGATGCCAGTGTCATTTGCACAAGGGGACATAGGAGTGTTGCTGGGTACCAGGAGGACACACAGGTGTCATACATTCCACAGAGCGCCTTCATCTTCCGCGACATGCGGTTCCGTGGGTTCTGGATGACGCAGTGGCGGAAGGACCACGCACAGGGTGAGCCAGGGGGGCTGAGGGACCTGAGCCAGGGTGGTGAGGGACCTGAGCTGGGGGGGGCTGAGGGACCTGAGCTGGGGGGGGCTGAGGGACCTGAGCTGGGGGGGCTGAGGGACCTGAGCTGGGGGAGCTGAGGGTCTGTTCCCCTGCTGGGCATGGGAGCGGGGACAAACCCCACCCAGCACACCCTCACTCCCACTCATGGAGCCATCTCTCTTGTCCCAGTGATGCCTTGAGAGGCTGCCTAGAACAGAGGCTGGACAGTGTTAAAGGAATAAAGTAGGGATTTATTAAAAGGCTTCCTCAAAGGACACACCTTGGGCAGTACAAAGCCCAGCCAAGGGTACACCCAAGATGGACGGTGGGTCACGAGTTTTCACACTTCTGTAAGTTTTGGTCCATTTCCATATTGGGGTTAATTGTCCAATGACAGTCCCACCCTCCCAGTTTGCTCTCCTCAGTTCACTGTTGTTTGCACTTTTGGGCCTGAAGCTGCAGCGGTGTCCTTGGTTCTGGGGCTGGAAAAGGATTGTTCTGTCTGACTGAACTGTGAGGAGAACTTGCTGACACTTTATATGAAGTTCAGAGTTACACACTAATGCAGGACAGAATCTGGGAAATATGAAAGCTAAAACTTAAGGCATCACCAGGGTGCTGAGGCAGTGGTGCTGGCCTCAGGCAGGGACCATGCTAGGGGCTCTTTGCTCATCCCACATGTGTGAGCTGGGGGATGTCACACCCAGGGACCCCGTATGGCCTTGGGCAGGTGTTCCCAGGGGTGGTGGATAGCCCGACATGGCACAGTGAGAACTCCCTCCTTCCTGTGCAGACCAGGAGAGCGTGGCTGCGATGATGGATGCCCTGTGCCAGCTCATCCGCAGGGGCCAGCTCACGGCGCCAGCCTGCACCGAGGTCCCGCTTCAGGACTACAGGGCAGCGCTGGAGGCCTCCATGAAGCCCTTCGTGTCCTCCAAGCAGATCCTCCTCCTCTGACCTGCAGCTCCTGGAGCCCTGTCCTGTTCCACATGCTTGTCCACAGACTTGAGTGGGGAAAAGACCCTCCAGATCCATTGAATTTCTTTTTTTTTTCCTTTGTTTATCACATTGTGGGTGCCCACTGAAAGCTTTAAAAGCCTCCGCAGCTTTGTGTGGAAGTGCTGCGGGAGGGAGGCTGCATCTCACTGTGGCTGGGGTGAGTTTGGGATCCCAAATGATGGCTCGCTCAGCTCAGGGTGTGAAAAGAGCAGCAGTTCCCCCTCAGATGTGCTTTTTGGGGCTGGCAGGGCTGTAGTTATCCCAGCTGGAATGTGGGATGGGCAGGGAAGCCCAAGTCATCTCCCTGCAGCCCTGCTGCCTCCAAGTAGGAGGAGGAAGGGACATTGACTGCCCCAAATGGTGAGGGATGCTGTGGTTGCAGTGGCCCTAGGTGCTGCTGCCGCTCCTGGAGGAGCCCTGGGTCACCCCTGGCTGGGTTTGGCCAAGGGCACTGCAAGGGCTGGGGCCAGACCCTCAGTGTCCCTGAAGGCCCTCCTGGCCGGGTGTGGAACAGTGACTGTGACACTGCAGAGCATTGTGAAAAGATTTATTATTGACAACAACCAGCAATGTGTTCTTGCTTCCTCCTGTGCTGCTCTTCTACTCTATGACCCCACAAGCTCTCCGTGGCCCCTGCTCTTGCCAGTCCAGCTCTGCCGAGGTCCGGCTGCGTTGGCTGTGCAGCTGCAGGGGGGGCAGTGGCCGCGGGCCGCAGTGTGGCCGGCGCTGGCCCTGGCCCCAGCGTGGCCATCCCGAACCACGGAGGGGAGCGCGGGGGGGGCTCAGCCCCTGCCCCGGCGCAGCCCCTGGGTTTGGCTGCCCGGAGCGGAGTGTGGGCAGTGCGAGTGTGCGGGGCCCGTGTGGGGTAGGAGGGGCGGCGTGGGGGCGAGCGGCCGCGGCTGGGGCAGGAGCGGCCTGCGGGGCGCGGCGGGGCCGTGTCTGCGGGGCCGTGTCTGCGGGGCCGTTTGCGTGAGGCGGGGCCGTGTCTGCGGGGCCGTTTGCGTGAGGCGGGCCCGGCGCTGCCCGCCCGGGCCGTTGTGTCTGCCCGTGCCTCGGGCACCGCGCAGCTGCTGCTCCTAGGTGTCTGCGCGTCCCCCTCCTCCTCTGCTCCTGCCGCCGGCTGAGCATCCCACCTTTTCCTTGGGTGCTTTGCCAGGATCTCAGTGCCCGGTGGGGGGCACAGCCAGGGGGTTTGTGCTTTCCCCAGCACCTGCAGACCCCTCCGGACACAGGGCAGGTCATCCCTCGTGAGAAAGGGGTTGGAGCAGAACAGCAGCTGCAAAAGGCAAAGGGAAGGAGTTGTTTGATGCAAGGAGGAGGGAGAAAATCAAGGGAGAGCCGGGAGGTGGCACAAGCAAGGACAAAAGGGTGTTAAAGGACTCTAGCATTTCACACCTAAGGCTTTGGTTGAGTAAAGTTAGGACAGAGCTTTGTAAAGTCACATCCACCCTCATGTTTTGAGCATTTGGGAGCAGAGAAGTGTAGGGTTTTCAAAAGCCAGAAAACTGCTGAGGAAAACCAAAGCCCGCTAGTTTCCAGGCCCCTCAGCATGTCCAGAGTAACTGACTCCAGGACAAAATAAAGCTGTTTGTTCCCATCCAGTCTCCAGCCTTGTCAAGGCTTATTTTAGCTGAACTTGAACCTCCCTGTGAGTGTCCCAAGGAATCTCTGAGTTGGGAGGAGCTGATGTACTTTTCCCAGTGCAGACCCAGCTGCTGCTACTGCTCTGAGCTCCTCCATGGAGGTCAGCAGGGGAGAATCCCCTTCCATTCTGCGGAATCCATGGAACATGAGCTGGAGAAGGAAGCTTCTCATGGACTCAGTTTCAAAGATCTTCTGGGGCCCTCTCCTGCCCAGCACTTCCTTCCTGAAGAGCTTTTCTCCAATCACAAGGCAGTTCCCGTTGTTGCCCCACCAGATTGACTCAAAACTCTGGCTGCTCAGGATCTCCCAGAGCTTCTTGAGGAAAGAGTCAGCCAAAGATTTGGTGCTAGCAGAGCTCTCTGAGGAGAAAAATTTCATGTTGTGGTCCCAGGATTCATCAGGGCAACCTTCAAGGGCGTTTTTGTCTGCAGGGGGTCCCACAGCAGCATCCCAAGATGGTCCTATATCATCTCTGGGACGGTCAGGAGATGCTGAAGCCACACACCAAGCAGAATCCTCCAGGACAGAAGCACAGGATGTCTCCTGTGACGACAGCTCCATTTAGACTTATTTTTCCACAGCTTGGCTGCCTCCAACCAGCTTCTTGGTCCTGACAGTCAGCAGTATGGAATCCAATGGCTCCAGCTGCCTGGGAAGTTCTCCAGCCTATGTTCCATCCCAGCGACATCACAGCGTGACACCTGTCTCCTGGCAGCAGGAGGTGGGAGATACAGAAATAACCTCAAAACTCTGATTTCCCAGAGATCTGTTTGAGCCCAGAGCTGATTCCAGCTGTATTTCCATGTGGAATGTCCTGCCAGGGCAGTGCTGTGTCCCAGTGCTCCTGGGAGCAGTGCCCAGGGAGGGATGGGCAAGGGGACAGCATTGGGCATCCAAATGCCCCAGACCTCAGATTTTTCACTTGGCACCTTCTGCCCCATGCAGAAATGCCTATATGGAATTGCTCTGGAATGACCCAGGTGTGTGGTGTCCACAGGGCTGCTTCTGCTCTGACTGTCCCTGTTCCTGGGTGATGTTCTTGGATCCCAGCAGGCTCTCCATGCTGCTCCATAGGATGAACTATAGGGGAAATGTTCCTCAAACACATCTTGCAATGGAAATAACCACCCTTGGGTTGGGTTCCTCGAACTTTCTTTGCCTCAGAACCTTCAGAACCCAGCCCAGGGACCTCACTGGCATTCTCCCGCCTTGTGCCCAGTTCCCAACATGCTCTGAGTGGGAGGACTGCGGAATTGTGTGGAATTGTGCATGGATAGAGGAATTGTGAGGGACCGGTTGTGTCAACTGAAGGCTCTTCCAGGATTCATCCTGGAGTCCTGGATGAGTTGGTGGGGTTATGGCAGGGCCTCTCTGGATCTACCAAAGGCCTGGGGGGCCCAGGGAGGTGGCCAGACCCTGGGCAAATGACTTCTTTTTCTCCTGGAAAATGGACTCTGTTTGAGTCCACTTGAACTGTCATTCCCGTGCACAGAGAGGGTGTGGGGGACAGCCCAGGAAAGTGTACCTTCATTTGGGGGATTTTCTGGGTCCCATGGGGTGAGGAGAAGAGCAGGGCAGGAATGTTGCTCAGGACTGGAGGGAGCACTGGACAACTGCATGTGTGCTTGGAAGAGCAGAACTCTGAAATTAAACCCCACTGTCATGCTGGCAACTGAATGGACGTGTCAAAGCCATTTCACCCCCTAAAACCCCTCACACTGAGACCTCCCTAAGCAGAGAGCAGATGTGCCCCAGGATAGACTCTGCACCAGGATCTTCCTTCTGCTCCTCCATCCCTAATAAATCCCCCAATATTTTGCATTTTCCTTCCCCCTGCCAGCATTGGAGGCAGAGCCCCATCCTGTGCCTCAGTGCTTCCTCATTGATGGATAAATTGGGGGAAAAAAAGCAAAAAAAGAACCAAGAGATCGTTATGAGCACTATTAAGCATGGCATAAACCAGAAAAATTAATGCATAGCTTTTATCCCTCATTGTTTATTTGGCTCAGTGATAAAACCCAACATGCTTTAGAGAACTCTTTCACAAAATGTTCTGACCTCTCACTCCTGCACCAGGGCACAAAGGAAGAAATAAATAAATTTAATTCTCCTTGTCAAATGAGCAAGATCGTGGCTGGAAATCCAGCTGCTGGTGTTGCACCTACACAATATTAATCATTTTGGAGGTGATTGTGGGGTTTTTTAGGGGGGTGGCTGCTAATGTTGGAATGTTCCAAGAGCCTCTGCTAGGATTTGGTGTGATTTAGGCATCTGACGTCTCAATTGAAAGGATAAAAATAATTCCCCAAAACTGACATTTAGAGTTCAGCAAGCGGGATGTTGTTGCTCACTAGAGAGAATGAGGAAAAGCCAAGTCTGGTCACGGATGGGGAATGCCATGGGGGGATGCCTGGGCAGCCCGAGTGTGGGGATGGGGGACCCCCATCCCTGCCTGCCTTTGGGGTCCCATCAGGATCCAGCATTTGGGGAATGGGGCAAAGAGAGGACCCCCATAAGCACCTCGGCACCCTCGTTAGCGCCCTGCACGTGGGAAGGGGGGATCGATCCATCCCCTCCATGGGGAACGGGACTCCCATGGGAAGGCAGACCCCGACACACGCGGTGTATGGGGAGAGGGAACCCCACAAGCCCCGTGACCCACGGGAAGGGTGACCCCACCCTGCCCTGCCCATCAGACACGTGGGAACGCCCACTTGGGGCCCGCGCGCAGGAAAGGGGGGGTCGAGCCATGCTCTCCGTGGGGAACGGGACCCCCATCTCGGGGCGGTGGGGCCCACACGGCGGCATGGCCGCTTTAAGAGCCAGCCCGCGCGAGGGGCGTGGCCCGCGGTGACGTTGCCCCGCGTCGCTGCCCGCGCGCCGCCGTGACGTCAGGCGGCCGCGCGGCCCCCGGGCCCCTCACGCCCCGCGGGCCCAGCCCCGGCCCCGCGATGCCGCGGGTCTACATCGGCCGCCTCAGCTACCAGGCCCGGGAGCGCGACGTGGAGCGCTTCTTCAAGGGCTACGGCAAGATCCTCGAGGTGGATCTCAAGAACGGGTGAGCGCGGGCTCGGGAGGGGAGGGCCCGGGCCTCCCCGGGGGCCTGAGGCTCTTGGAGGGGCCGCGGGGGAAGAGGCCGCCGGGGCGCTCTGGGCAGTAGTGGGGGCAAGGCGGCTGGGTCGCCTCCTTTGGGTGCGGTGACGGGCAGGAAGCTTGGGCTCCCCCTTGGTGGGGGACGCGAAGCCTGGCCCTTTATTGGGGCGGTGTGTTGGGTTCTCTGTTTTAGGGGGTGGGCAGAACGCTTGAACTTCCACTGGCGGAGGGACAGGGTGGCTGGGTCCGCCCTTTCTGCGGGGGAGAGGATGGCTGGGCTGTTTTTGTGGGAGGGCAGTCTGCTTGGTTCCTTTTTGGGGGGGGACGGAACGTTTGGGTTTCTCCCTTTTTTTGCGGGGAAGGGGGCAGGACGTCTGGGCCCCTGCTGGAGGGGGTCAGGATGCGTTGGTTCCCCCTTTTCTGGGGGGGGGCAGGGCGCCTGGGTTTGCCATTCTGGGGAGGGTGACAGGTTGCCTGGGATCTCCTTGCGAGGGAGTAGCAACACACCTGGGCTCTCCCCTTGGGGAAGCAGGATGCTCGGGTTCCCTTTTGGGGTGGGCAGCAGGATGCCTGGGTTCCCCTTCTTGTCAAGGGGGGCCATGCTGTCTGGGCCTTTTTTGGGGCGCAGGATGGCTGTGGCTCTCTTGGGGGGGATGCGGATGCCTGGACTCTCCTTTGGGCAGGGGTGAGGGAGGCTGGACGGTTGGGTTCCCCTTTTTTTCGAGTGGATGCAGGACACCTGGGCTCGCCTTCTGGGGACGGCTCGGGTGGGTGGGCTTCTCCTTTTTGGAAGGCAGGACACCTGCGTTGCTGTGACAACTGGGGGGTA